ATAAAGGACTATATGTGTACACCCTATTAAGTCATTTTTCCGACTTACCTGAACCAACAGTCATAAGGACTAAATGTGTATAGTTAAACAAATTAAATGATCAAATGTGGACGAAAAAAAAAACTCAGTGACCAAATGTATATAAATCGAAAAATATATTACCCTTTTAAATCATTATCCCTACTTTGAAACTAAAAGTTATGCTTTTCTGGTATCCAAGATTGGAGTGTGATATGTCTATAAATAACATTTTTTTACATAGAACACCATGAAAAAAATATTCTTCTTAAACGAAATTTGTATGAAAGGTTTAAAGTTAAGAAAAAACTATATTTTCATAAGACAAAACTACGAAAACCTATATAGGGCGTGTTCGGCACAGAGCGTTTGGGAGCGTTTGAGAGCTTCTAGCTTCTAGCTTTTGACAAAACGCTCCGTATTGAACAGAAAGTCTCGTTCGCTACCAGCTAATTTTGCCGTTTAGTTTAAACAAAATGCTTCTAGCGTTTAGTTTAAACAAAATGCTCCAAAATGCTCCAAATCCAAATGCTACTTCATGTAGCGTTTAACAAAATGCTACAAGCTACAAGCTACCCGCTACAAATCACCCGCTACCAGCTAATTTTGCCGAACACGCCCATAAATTTCTTGACAAACCGAGCAAAATGACATCCCTTTGCTAAAAACAATCGTAGTAACACACATTTTTGCAAATAGTTATCTGCAAAAATACTAGCTATTAGATTATTTTCTATTTTTGGCTGCTTTACAGTAAAAAAAAATTAAAAAAAGTTATTACGATTATTTTCTTATTTGAAAAAACTTTATTGTTATAAAATAAAGAATGATTTTTTTTTTTCATAAAAGATATTGAAAAACTCCCCTGTATCGTTAGATGCTCTAAATCATTAACATAATTTAAAACATTCCATTAAACAATTATAAAGAACATGGTGGCCTCGAAATCAACAAGAATCACGCTGCAAATCAAACACCATGAGCCTGGTTTTAAACTTTAAACGTAGACTTGGACTTGACATTTATATCCCATCCCATCCATCCATTCATCGCCATAGCCTTTAGTAACTGTAAACAAAGCTTAGCCTCTCTCTCTCATCTCGCTTTTACAATTAATGCAACTGTCCATCAACCAGCAATGCTTTCCCCTCTTCTACTTCTTTTTTCAACACCCAGATCGTAATCGTTCACAAAGGTACCTCTTTCCTCCCAAAATTTCATCTTTTTCTTACCTGTTTTTCGTAGTTTAAGTTGATTTGAAATCCCCTTCCCTTTTTGTGAAAAGCGGATTCTTATTTCGCTGAATTTGTATCATTTCAGTAGTTTAATCGGTGTATATGACCTGGGTTTCTTAATTTACGCTTTAATTGTAGTGGGTTTTCGATCAAATATGAATTTGAGCTGCTTTCTGTGTGTTAGAAGGTGTACAGAAATGGAAAAGTCGATAGCTTCTTTTACTTGAAGTGATTCATGCTTTAATTTATGCCCGATTTGGTGCTAACTTTTGTATGTTCAATGGAAAGATCTGTCGATTGTTCGAGTTTATTCTCTCGTTTTTTTTCCTAAAGCGTTGCACTCAAAAAACTTGATTTTGTATGGTGGAAATACATTTGAAAGAGGGGAGAAGCGTGACAAGATTGAATTTTGGTATTCTTCTTGGATTTTATATCATCTTGAAAGTTTTAGGCTCCAAAAATTGAGCATTGTTGCTGATACCCTTTTTTATTTGTGCTTTTTCAAGATTATTCTTCAGGGGATATAAAAATAAAATGCGCTATAATCAACAGAAAGAATCTTGGTTATCTCTTTCTGTATGCATTACAATTATATAGTAATTCTTTCACTTGTCATAACATGTTTGAACTAAACACAGTTATTGGATAAGTTTTGTTCTTTTCTTTTTTATATTAATTATTAAATAAGATACCAAGAATACAACTTTGCTTACCTATGCGTTGGTCAATTGACTATTTTCCATGATTTTTGATCATATTCCCTTTATTTCCTTGCTTTTCTTGTCGTCTTCACATGACTACATTTATACCCATAAAAATTTCCCAGTTGTTATATTATAATAAGATTCTTTTCAATCGTCACATGATCTATGCATTATCTAAATCTTGTTCACATGCAATTATTCATTATATAAATGTATTTTGTTATAAAGTAGTCATTTGTATCTTTGACGTAAGTTCAAACTGATTCCCACACCATTTTCTTGATTGTCGTTTCAGAAGTTTCTGACTTTTGACCAAGTTTTCCGAATCTTTATCTAAATTCACAACAAGTTTTTGCTTCTTTTGTTGACTGGATTTCGAAAGATTGAAAATGGGGTGTTGTGCCTCCACGGGTAGTAGGGGTAGTGGTGGAAAAAAGAGAACAAGAAGAACATTTTCCGATCATGTGAGTGCCTTTCACCACACTTCTTCTGTACCCAATAGGATTTTTGCAAATGGGAAGAGCCGAAGTTCTTGCATTTTTACTCAACAAGGTCGTAAGGGAATAAACCAAGATGCAATGATCGTGTGGGAGGTAAATTTGTCTTTTTTTATTGTTCTGTTATTTTTCTAGTAACCCTTGAGCTGATACACTCTGTCCCAAAAACATCATGTCAGATATAAATCAATAAGGTACACTGTGGCCCACTAGATGACTGACATAACATGTCAATTAATAAGGTACATTGTAGCCCACTAGATGACTGACTGACATAATATGTCAATTAATAAGGTACACTGTGGCCCACTAGATGACTGACATGTCAGATAGCTCAATCCACAATGGAATTGAAACTCCCACACTGTGGTTATAGCTATAGCTGCTGAGACTCGAACCTGTAATTTATGGTTTGGAATCTTTTTGTAGGATTTTATGGCGGAGGATGTGACATTTTGTGGGGTATTTGATGGGCATGGGCCCCACGGACATCTTGTTGCGCGTAAAGTTCGTGATACGTTACCCGTAAAGTTGTTTTCGTTTCTTGATTCATATGAATCAAAGAAAAAAGGGTCTACTACTTCTATTTGTTGCAATGGGGAAAATCATGGATTAGAGGCGGATGATTGTGAGGAGGAAAAACCGGAGTTATTATGGAGAGAAGCTTTTTTAAAATCTTATAAAGCAATGGATAAAGAGTTAAAGTCTCATCCCAATTTGGATTGTTTTTGTAGTGGAAGCACCGCTGTGACAATCGTTAAACAGGTATCGTTTTTTTCTACAAAATTAATGTTTTTTTTTATTATTTAATGGATTTGATGCCGATAGGTCTTAATAGAGTTTTTTGAACATTTTGAATTTAAGGGATTGAATCTTTTTATGGGAAGCATCGGAGATTCACGTGCCATCATGGCATCTAAAGATACCAACGATTCACTCGTAGCAATTCAGTTGACCATTGACCTAAAGCCCGATCTTCCAAGTATGACAAAAAAAAAATAACAAATCTTTTTAAATCTTTATTTAGTCAATTTTTTTACTACACTAACTTGATTTTCATGTTATAGGAGAGGCCGAAAGGATTAAAAAATGTAAAGGGAGAGTTTTTGCATTACAAGATGAACCGGAGGTCCCGAGAGTTTGGTTACCATTTGATGATGCACCGGGGCTAGCAATGGCACGAGCTTTTGGAGATTTTTGTTTGAAGGAATATGGAGTCATATCAATTCCTGAAGTCTCTCATAGGATTCTTACAGAAAGTGATAAGTTCATTGTTCTTGCTTCCGATGGGGTACATAGACATTTTTTTTAATCAAATTCATTGCTTCCTTTTTTTCTCTTAAACATAAACAACTTTTGTCTTGTACTGCATTTGGCGTGCATTGAACTGAGACTGTGACTCATGTCAATAGAATAAATATCACATTTTTTGTCCTACACTAAAAGGTGAAACAATACGGGACAAAGACTCGATCTTGATATCTTGTCTGTGTAAAAAGACGTGAATGCCCTCCTCATTCGCATCATTAAAAATAGCCCTAGAAAGTTTGTTAGGTAAATCTTGTACCATGTGACAAACGCAGCAAGGCTGCGTTTGTTGCATTATATATGATGGATTGGACAGACTTTCTAAGGCTATTTTCGATGTGGCGAATGTGGAGGGCATTCATGTCTTTTTACACAGACAAGATATCAAAATCGAGTCTTTATCCTGCATTGTTTCACCTTTTTGTGTAGGACAAAAAATGTGATATTTATTCTATTGACATGAGTCACAATCTCAGTTGAATGCATGCCAAATGCAGTATAAGTTGGTTTTGTTTTGTTTTACCCTTTTGATGATTGAACTCGTGCCACGTTGCTGACGTTACGTCTATTGTAGATTTGGGATGTTTTGAGCAACGAACAAGTGATTGAAATCGTATCCACATCTCCAACTCGGTCAACAGCTGCCCGGATGCTGGTTGACTCAGCTGCCCGTGAATGGAAATCCAAATACCCGACATCCAAAATGGACGATTGTGCGGTTGTATGTTTGTTCTTAGATGGAAAAATGGATTCAGAATCCGATAATGAAGAACACGGTTTCTCTTCCGCCACACTCCAAAGTAATGCTGGTGAATCGGATGATGGTCAGAATCCTGAACCCGTTTTGCAAAGAAATTTCACAGTGAGATCGGCGGAAGAGAGTAGAAAAGACCAAAACGACGTAGTTTTGGAAGGGAATGGGGAAACTGAAACGGGTGTGGTTGAAGATCAGAACTGGTCGGGTTTGGAAGGGGTCACGCGAGTCAACTCGCTTGTTCAACTTCCGAGATTTTCAGAGGAGCAATCAAGGACTTAAAAAATATTTCTTTCTTAATGTTAGTTATGATTTGATTTTGTGTTTTTTGGGAAGTTGGAAAATGTATAATATTTTCGCTAGGGTTGTTGGCATTGCGTGGGATGTGGATTATTTTATCATATAAAAGAGTTTTCAAATTCGTGCTTTTGCTAATTGCTCATGTTTTAATACAGTTAATTATTTTTAAAAGATAATAACAAATTATGTCAAAATTTTCTACAACGGTAAATCAGTAATGTAGTTTAAATTTAAAACAAGCTATTTACATTCTCTTTCCGTTTATAGCAATGAATTTTAAAATTTTACTTAATAACAATGTACTTTCATTAGATTTCTAATAAGCTTTTCAAGATGGTTTAACTCTTGTATAAGTCCAAAATCGTCTATTTGGGTCATAATCCCCAATATAAATCCATTTTTCAACAACTTTTATTTCTTTTTTAATATCGGCAACTCTTTTATTCATTTTTTTGGATTTCTGCTACGAGAGCTCTACGTGCAATAATTATCGGACACATTACCGAGTTCATTTTTTTGGTCATCTTCAGTGCCCTTCATAGCTTCAAAAATATAATCGGACGTCTTATATGAAAATAGTTCATCATGATAGAAATCCGGTTACTCTGGGAGACTGGGACAACATAGTAAATATTTTAAGAATGAAATATGGACTTTCTTCATTTCCATAATGATAACCAACTTTATTGTTATCGAATGATGTTGCATCTAATTTTATTTTCTTTGATTTTTTCATAGATATTTTTTATAACAAAAAGATAGGCAGGTGAATGAATTAGTGTGAGCTTTGGTGTAAAATAATGTTATGATTTTAGTATGTTTATATAGTAGTTAGATAAGATGGTATATGAGGATTCATAAAGAGGTTAACATGTAGAAAAATAGGTGGTTAAACAAGAAAGGATTTTACGTGGCTCAAAAATTATAACATTAGGTCCTACCGAGATTTGAACTCGGGTTACTGGATTCAGAGTCCAATGTCCTAACCACTAGACCATAGGACCAATTGATGATTTCAAAGATCCACAATACATATTTAACTTGAAAAGTATATTTCGAAACCCTCATAAACCCCTGATTACAGGTTTCGAAACTTCAATTCAGAGCAAAGTCGATGCAATTTCAAGCTACAAATTCAATTTTAACGCAATGAGAAAAACCCTACTGAAATCCCTCTACCCCATCGCAACCAACAGACCTCACTCTTCGTCCATAAATGGCAGAAGAAAGATTAATCACCCACTTCACAATTCATCAAAACCCGACCCGAATCCACTTCCCATCTCAAACTCCAGATGGGTTTTCACCACAACCGCACCCCCACCACCGGAATGGGTTCAACCCATCAACGACACCTCCGATCTCATCACACTACACCCCAAACCTTCACCATGGGTTGACCAGATCCTCAATCTTTTAAACGACGATTCATCCCAAATGGAACCCAAATTGGATGAGTTTTGTCGCATATGGTTCATCAGATTATCACCCAATTTCGTTTCCTACATTCTTAGTTCTAGTCGGGTCAAAAACCAGCCCGAATTGTGCCATCGGTTCTTCAAATGGGCAGGTAAGCAAAAGGGTGGTGGATACACTTACTCTCATAATCTTGAATCTTATGCTTTCTTGATTGATGTTTTATCTGTTTCTAAAGATTTAAATAGGGTTAAATCTGTGTTCATTGAGCTTAAACAAAAGGGTTTCTTGATGAACATAAAGTCTACAAATTTATTGATCAAATCATTTGGGAATCTCGGAATGGTTGAAGAATTATTATGGGTATGGAAACAAATGAAAGAAAACGGCATCGAACCCAGTTTGTTTACTTTCAATTTCTTGTTAAACGGTTTGGTTAATTCAATGTTCATCGAATCAGCCGAACAAGTTTTTGAAGTTATGGAAACTGGGGCCATTAAACCCGATACTGTAACATATAACACAATGATCAAAGGGTATTGTAAATCCAGAAACACAAAGAAAGCCAAGGAGAAATTTACAAAAATGGAGGAAAAGAACATAGAACTCGATAAGATCACTTATCTAACTTTAATCCAAGCTTATTATTCAGACAACGATTATGATTCTTGTTTGAAACTTTACAACGAAATGGAAGAAAAAGAACTAGAAATCCCACCACACGCTTATAGTTTAGTAATTGGAGGTCTTTGTAAAGACGGAAAACCAATGGAAGGTTATATGGTTTTTGAAAACATGATCCGAAAGGGGCGTAAAGGTAATCTTGCTATTTACACCGCTTTAATGGACGGATATGCGAAAGCCGGACATGTAAATGAGGTGATACGAATTTTCGAGAGGCTAAATAATGACGGTTTTACCCCTGACGAGGTCACTTACGGTGTAATTGTGAACGTTTTATGTAAAACCGGACGATTATCGGAGGCGTTACAATATTTTAATTTATGTCGCGAGAATAAAATCGCGATTAATTCGATGTTTTATTCGAGTTTAATCGATGGATTCGGGAAATCCGGGAAATTATTAGAAGCCGAAAAGTTATTCGAAGAAATGGTTGCCAATAAAATTACTTGCGATTCGTATTGCTATAACGCGATTCTTGATGCGTATATGAAGAACGGGAAGATCGATGAGGGATTGTCGGTTTTTGAAAAGATGGAAATCGACGGTTGTAATCGAACGGTGTACACGTACACAATCGTAATGGATGGATTATTTAAAAAACATAGAAACGAAGAAGCTTTAAAGATTTGGGATTTGATGATTGATAATGGAGTAACACCGAGTTCGGGTTCGGTTAGGGTTCTTTTGACCGGGCTTTGTTTATCGGGTAAAGTGGGCCGGGCGTGTAGGATTTTGGATGAGTTGGCACCAATGGGGGTAGTTGTGGAAACGAGTTGTGAAGATATGATTAATGTTTTGGTCAAAGCGGGTAGAGTTGACCAAGCGTGTAAATTGGCGGATGGGATTGTGGATAGAGGGAGAGAGATACCCGGGAGGGTTCGTACGGTTTTGATTAATGCTTTGAGAAAAGTTGGGAATGCTGACATGGCGATGAAGTTGATGCGTAGTAAGATTGGGATCGGGTATGAGAGGATGGGTACGATTAAGAGGCGTGTGAAGTTTAAGGTGCTTGTTGACAAGTGAGGTGTTGTTTCTTTTTTTACTCAAAGAAGGGTAAAACGGTCATTTACTTTTACTCATTAAATCGAGAAAAAGAAATAGTCTTTGTTTATGTAACACTTACTCTTGACAAATATCATTTATCCATCAAGTACTTTATCCATACACGGGAATAAAGAAAAGCCATTAATCTGCTAAGCTATATTTGAGTATTTCTTTTTTACTAAACGCAGAAAAAATGACTTAATCGAGAAATTCAAGGGAACGGGGTTTTATTTAAGTCCCAACTTTTTACAAATTTGCATACATTTTCTTTTTCTTTCATTTTTCGAAGTGTGCCCGAAAGTTTTTCAAATAGGATTTAGGGCTAAATGCAAAAATAGCAATGTACTTTCATATATTTGTTTATTATAGCATCCTACTTCCGTGTTATTCTATTACAACATTGTACTTTGAAAATTCTACCCAAGCATAGCAATTTAATAAAAATACAAAACAATTTCATTGCTTTAATGGAGCACATTTTTCAAAGTACAATATCCTGATAAGAAAAAAATATATATTTAAACTACAATGCTATAGTAGGGAAGTCTTTTATGCTATCCTGAATGATGAGTATGGGGAGGACATTTATGTCTTTTACACATATAAAAGAATTGTTGTTTTTGTTTTATTTAAATCAGTTTCACGGTCACGGTCTACCGCACACTAAACACAAGATAACTTGTTTTACCGTGTCTTGTCTTATGTAACAAATGGGGCTTTATGGTTTTCTAAGTTTTTACATGCAAAATGACTAATATACCCCTGACATTGTTCCCAACTTTACAGTCAAAAACATTATCTGAGCAGATTAGCTTACCCTTCTTTTTTCTATCATGTCAAAATTTGGTTGTTGCTCTCTCCTTTTTCTCCTGACATGTCTAGTCTTTTTCTATTTGTCTAGTCTTTTTCTATTTGTTATGCTCAGGACAACCCTTGTGAAATGACTAATGCACCCCTAGTGTCATGCGGATTAAAGATGCACATACTGGAGAGATGCGTATCAGCTAAAAGTGATTTTATGTTAGATACGCGTGATGTATAGGTATCTTTTAAAGCTTGGGTTTTGTAAATATATAGAAATTAGGGCTAACTAATTTTACGAAAGATGAAGATTGTATTTATCTTTTTTTCAAGTAAACAGAAAAGTATTGTAATTTCTTTTTAGACAAATGAGCTACTTGTTAGTATTGTTATAATGTAGTGTATAGATAGTTATTAAAATTTATTATTGATTTTAATTAATCATAATTAAATAATTAGCAATTTAGAATTACTAACCAAGACTAAAAACGGTAGTTTAGACTTGATATCTAGATAGTGTTTGGATTTATTTTTGTTATTTGTAATTGTAAAAATTAAATAATCAACTTTTTAAGTAAATTCTGCGATTATTCTAAGAACCAATTGATAAAATAACCAATGAGAACTTATTATTATTATTATTATTATTACTAGTTGTGAAACCGATATATTACATGAATTAATTTAAAAAAAAAGTTAAATATAAATGTCAAAATATTTGAAAACTTTGAATTTATAATAAAAAAAAATAAATAATTATTATAATGGAAATGTTTTTTATCTTTTAAATTTTAACAAATAATTTAACTAAATAAACAAAAGAAATTAATGGGTTTTAATTTTGGGAATTTTGAAATTAAAAGGTAAGTTCATTAATAAAATTGATATTCATTTATTACTAGATTTATTGTAATTATTATATTAAAATATTATGTAAAACTTAATAAAATAGAAAAACGGGAAATCTTCAGAAAAGTCCCATTATTTTGGGAAAAGTTACATTTAAGTCCTAAATTTTTTTTTGAACAAAAAAACCCAAGAAACCGGTCAACTATGCTATATAGCATGCACATCAGCTTTTAAATGCATAAATCGGACTTTATTTAGAAAATGTGGCGGGTGGGATTCAAACCCACACCTCACACATACAGCCAAACACATTTTCCACTAGGCTAGACACAATTTCTTGATTTTATCCCTTAAAGTTTATATATAATGTATTAAATGCTGAAGCTTTTCATTAAAAATGAAAAGAATGGGATTCGAACCCACAACCTCCCACTAACAATTCTAACCACTTTCCACTAGGCTATCAACTTTTTGTTAATTGTTTTCCTCAAATTTAGATATAATGCCTTAAAACGCTGAAGCTTTTATTATTATTGTTATTATTATTATTATTATTATTATTATTATTATTATTATTATATTTACGTAAATATATATAAACTTCGAAAAAAAACAGTA